TACTATCCTGGTGTCGGAACGTGACACTCTGATCCTCATATACTATCCTGGTACCGGAACGTGGCACCCAATCTATATTCTATCCTGGTGTCGGAACGTGACACTCCGATCCTCATATGCTATCCTGGTACCGGAACGTGGCACCCGATCCATATTCTATCCTGGTGTCGGAACGTGACACTCCGATCCTCATATACTATCCTGATACCGGAACATGGCACCCGTAACATATTCTATCCTGGTGTCGGAACGCGACACCCGATCCCCTAATCTCACTACTTTCGTTCATCAAGCCTTCTTTTATACCAAGACATTATCATTAACAAAGTAGATTAGGGTTTCTTTTTCAAGATTTAGGATTCAATGGCTTCATCATGCTTATTTTATCACAATTATATAATCACATTCATGCAAGCATACAATTAAGCATACAGAAGGGTTTACAACACTACCCAATACATATCATTCGCTATTAAGAGTTTACTACGAATAGCATAAAAAACCATAACCTACCTCCACCGAAGATTCGTGATCAAGCAATCTACTTTCCCAAAGCTGCGTTCTTCCTCTCTCTCAATCGATCGTTTCTCCCTCTCTCTCTGTTCTTTTTCTTTTTCTTATTCAAACCCTCTTTCTTTTACCCTAATTAACATATAATTAAGTATGAAAGATGACAAAATAACACACTAATTAATTTAAGGTTATCTCCTTTAACCCTCAAGAAATTGGATTATTAATATTCAACCACCAACTTTATAATTATAAGTAGGAATAGTCCAAAACGTCCCTTAAAATATTTAAAGAAATCCGACCCAGCCTGGGATTACGCAGCCTGTGACGGGCCATCGTGCCTGCGACGGTCCGTCCTGCTGAGTCGTCATAGAGTTCAGAGACTGAAATTTACTGAAGGATCTGTGATGGCCCGTCACGCGTGTGACGGTCCATCACGCGTGTGACGGTCCATCCTGCCATTCCGTCACGAAGTTCAGAGAGTCGATTTCAGTACCCAAATTTTAGAAATCTAAGTGTTTTAGAACGAGACCCCCTCGACGGTCCGTCGTGCTCAATTATCCGAAAGTAATACATAGTGGGAGATTGATTTTATAGTAATATATGATTATCACGTTTGGGGTTGCCTAAAGTGTCTTGTATCATAGTCAGACTAAAGTTACTTGCAACATCTTTGGGATTGCGATTGTATTCCCTTTGGGACTAGAGATACATATTGACCTAGTCTTGTGGGGTCACTAAAGGTGCTCGGAGTATGTAGGGTCTGAACAAAATCAGTAACCTTTCAAGCCTTTTACTCCATTGAAGAAGCTTGAAGCATTAGCAAGAAGAAGAAGAAGAAGAAAAAGAATGGAAAAACAGAACTGTAGTATATTGAATTCATCCTTTACACGTGATGATCTGCATTGCTTATATAGCAATCAGATGCTGAAACAAAATACAAACAAACTAACTAATTCTACACACTAATCGATGTAACAACCTACTAACTTTAAATTACAATAATAGGCCTAACTAACTACTAACTAACTTTAACTGATAACTAACTTTTGAATAGTTAGTTGCTGCCACTAACTAACTCATCTTCAGCTTCTTTTAACACACCCCCTCAAGCTGATGAGTGCATAACATTGATCACTCCAAGCTTGCCTAGAAGATGCACATGTTGAACTTGGCTTAGCCCTTTTATCAATATGTCTGCGAGTTGATGTTGTCTGTGAACATAAGCAGTGTCAACTTCTCCTGCTTTGATCTTATCCCTGATAAAATGGCAATCTATCTCAATGTGTTTTGTCCTTTCATGTAACACTGGATTAGCTGCTAGTTGTATAGCTGATTTGCTGTCACTGAAGATTGTAACAGGCAGTTGAACATTCATTCCTAATTCCTTGAACAATCCTAGAAGCCAAGTGATTTCTGAGACTGCTGATGCCATACTTCTGTACTCAGCTTCAGCTGAGCTTCTTGAAACAGTTTGTTGTTTCTTTGATTTCCAAGAAACTAAGGACTCTCCAAACTTAATGACATATCCTGTGATGGATATTCTTGTGTTAGGACAGGCTGCCCAATCAGAATCACACCAACAAGTAATTATGTTAGTAAGTTCAGAGTGTAACCAAACACCTTGACCAACTGAACCTTTCAAATATCTAATCACTCTAGTGGCTGCTTCCATATGTGATTTCTTGGGAGATTGCATGAACTGACTTAAGGTTTGCACTGCATAACTTATGTCTGGCCTGGTGATAGTAGCATATAGCAATTTACCAACCAACCTTTGATATGAAGTAATGTCATGCAGCACAACATCTTTATTATAGCCATTTTCTTGATCATGCTCTACAGAAGTTAATCTCAAATTGGACTCCATTGGTGTGGTTGCAGGTTTAGCTCCTGTTAATCCAGCTTCAGCAATAAGTTCCAATATATATTTCCTTTGATTCAAAATAATTCCTCCAGAGGATCTTAACACTTTAATGCCTAGGAAAAATTTAAGTTCACCTAGATCCTTTAGTTTGAACTATTTGTGTAGACATGCCTTAACTTCAGCAATCAGTTGTGTGTTATTTCATGTGATCAATAGATCATCTACATAAACTAGAACAATGACAATATCTTCCCTCTTTTTTAGTGTGAACAGTGAGTAGTCATGAGCACTCTGACTAAAACCTGTGGCTTGTAATACCTTTGTAAGTTTCAGGTTCTACTGTCTTGAGGCTTGCTTAAGTCCATACAAAGACTTTAACAACTTGCAGACTTTGTTTTCACCTGGTTTTGCAAAACCTTCAGGCATTTTCATATAGACTTCTTCATCTAAATCACCCTGTAAGAAAGCATTATAGACATCCATCTGGTACAATGTCCAGCCTTTTGATACTGCTAATGCAATGACACATCTAACTGTTACCATCTTGGCTACTGGAGAAAAAGTGTCATGATAATCCAATCTTTCTTGTTGACTGTATCCCTTTGCTACAAGTCTTGCTTTAAACCTTTCTATCTCTCCATTTGCCTTATACTTTACTTTATATATCCACTTGGAACCAACTGCATGCATACCTTCTGGTAGTTCAACTACTTGCCATGTATTATTTTCTTCAAGAGTCTTGATTTCCTGCTTCATAGCTCCTTTCATCTTGTGAAGTTTGATTGAAATTCTTAGGTTGTATATACTCTGAAAGTTTACTCAGAAAACTTCTACAATCAGGTTTTAACTTTTCATAATTCAGATAGCTAGCCATAGGATGTTTGGTGCTACTATGGCCTTTACTAATAGCATAGTATTTCATCCACATTGGCTCCTTGATGCTTCTTGAAGATCTTCTAACATAAAAGTCAACATGTGATGGTATGGCATGAGTATTTTCAGAAACTTCCTCTGTTGTACTAGGTCTAGTCATCTGATCTTCTGAAGAATTCTCAGTCTCATTATTCTGCCTGTCTTCATGAACTATACTAGTGTCTGCAGGCTCACTATTATCAATCTCAGCTTCAATAGTTTGACTCTCTGGTTTCTCTAAGGGTGAACCATGTACATCAACCAATGGATCAAGTTGAGGCATCACTTTAGCAAATGGAAAAATTTCTTCATGAAATATCACATCTCTATTCACATGCACCTTAGTAGAGTGGATATCCAATAACACATATCTTTTCTGCAATTCTGAATAACCCAAGAGAATAGCTGTACTAGCTCTGGCTGAAAACTTATCCCCTTTAGGCATTGTTGTAGCATAGCAAAGACAACCTATAACCTTTAGATGAGATAAACTAGGTTTTTTACAATAAAGTAACTCATAGGCACTCTTGTTGGAATTGACTGATGAGGGTAATCTATTCATCAAATACACTGCAGCCTTAATGCAATAACCCCAAAATATGATAGGTAGATGAGCTTGCAATCTGATTGCTCTTGCAATATTAAGGATGTGTCTGTGCTTTCTTTCAACCACACCATTTTGTTGTGGTGTGTGAGGGCAACTACTCTGATGTAATATTCCCAGATGATTGAATAAATCTCTACACTGTGAATTAAGGGACTCTGTGCCATTATCTGATCTCACAACTTTGACATGAGAATTGAACTGAGTTTTGATCATTGAGAAGAAATTTTTGATAGCTACAATGGTTTCTGATTTCAATTGCAACAAATGAACCCATACAAATCTACTCTGGTCATCTACTATAGTCAAGAAGTAATGCTTTCTATCTAGAGTAGGAGTCTTATAAGGTCCCCATAGATCCATATGAACAACATCAAACATTATGGATGCTCTAGTAGTACTAATAGGAAAAGTAAGCCTAGTTTGCTTGGCTAAAGGACAAACAAGACAATGTGCTGATATTCCATCACCTTTGCTGCTTGTATCTATCTTGAGAAATCTCAATATCTGTTGAGATGGATGTCCTAACCTTCTGTGCCATATTTCTGTGTCTTGTATTACATCTCCTGCAACTACTATTTCTTGAGCACACTTTATTTCTTCCTTCTGTTTAGATGAAAAGTTAGCCTTAAAACTGTATAATCCTTCTTCTTCTCTACCAATCCCCTTCACCCTGCCACTGTAGAGGTCCTGAAACACACAAAAGTCAGGGTAAAAGGATACAAAACAATTTAGTTCTCTTGCAATCTTTGACACTGACAATAAATTAAACTTGAAATCTGGCACATGTAAGACACTTCTGGCCACTTCATTATCAAATATAGGTGTTTCACCAATATGACTGACTGCAACCTTGTCACCTGTTGGAAGATGAACTTGATTCATTTGTGACTTTGTTAATTCATGCCTCCTAGTCAGTAACTGCTTATTTGCAATGATATGATGATTTGCACCTGAATCAACAATCCAATCCTGAATAACAGGATTTGTCATTAAACAAGTTATAATACCTGCCATATTGACTTGCTTTGTTTCTTGTACATCTCTGTTTAGCATCTCCATTATTTGTTTATACTCCTTCTCAATGAATGTTTTTCCCTTTGGCACCTACTGCAGGTTATTATTTTCCACCTGATTCTTTGATACAACATTAGGATGATCACAGTGATCATTAGATATGTGATTTGCAGCTTGATATCCTCTTCCATATCCACCATTATTTCCTGAACTTTGTCCACTATATCCATTGAATTGACTTGTGCCTATACCATTTCTCATGTTTCCATTCCCATTTCCATAACCTGGTTTCTTCCTTTGTTTCCAGTCACTTGGATAACCAATCAACTTGTAGCAATTATCCTTTGTGTGACCAAGGAAATGGCAGTAATCACATTTTTTCCCTTCGTAATGTTCCTTTTTAGCTCCTTGATTCATGTTAACACTCATCACCATAGAACTTGGTTTTTCAACTGCATTATCCATACAACTTGAGTGTTGAATCTCATCTTCTATAATCATAGCATAAGCTTGATTCATAGATGGTGTATTTTCTTTAAGTAATATCTGTCTCCTAGCCTGATCATATGATTCATTTAGGCCACTTAGGAATTGAATCAATCTCATCTGCTCCAAATGATCATTATACTCCTTAGATTGAGAACAAGTACTACATGGATTTGGAACTATAGCATCATACTCATTCCATAGTGTTTTTAACTTTGAGAAGTAATGAGATACAAAATCTGTACCTTGTGAGAGAGTGGTGATATCTCTATGTAATTGATAGATCCTTACTCTATTCACCTTGTCGAATCTTTCCTTTAGATCATTCCATACTGAGAAAGAATTTGTGGCATATACAATACCACTAAGTAGCTCTTCAGTGACTGTGTTCATCAGCCAAGACAGCACAATTGCATTGCAAGTTTCCCATTGCTCATGCAGTTCATCTTTGTATAGGCCTCTAGTGCAGGCACCAGTTACAAAACCATACTTCCTCTTCCCTAATAGTGCAATCCTCATTGCTCTACTCCAAACTCCATAATTTTCAGAACCAACCAGCTTGATTGGAATCAACACAGCACTAGAATTATCAGAATTTCCAATGAACAATGGATCATTCTGATCTATCTTCATTCCTACCATATCTGTAGATCTTAAGCTACAGATTATCACCAATCGACAGAGATTTAAACTCCACTAATTATACAGATCACACTGCTCTGATACCATGAACAAAATCAGTAAACTTTCAAGCCTTTTACTCCATTGAAGAAGCTTGAAGCATTAGCAAGAAGAAGAAGAAGAATGGAAAACAGAACTGTAGTATATTGAATTCATCCTTTACACGTGATGATCTGCATTGCTTATATAGCAATCAGATGCTGAAAAAAAATACAAACTAACTAACTAATTCTACACACTAATCGATGTAACCACCTACTAACTTGAAATTACAATAATAGGCCTAACTAACTACTAACTAACTTTAACTGCTAACTAACTTTTGAATAGTTAGTTGCTGCCACTAACTAACTCATCTTCAGCTTCTTTTAACAGGGTCGCTAAAGGTGCTTGGAGTATATCGATCTCGAGAGAGAGAAAGATAAAGAAAGATTTCATGTGAAAGAGATCAAACAATTTTAAAATATGAAAAGTGATGATATTGGTCTAATGAAAAATAAGTTTTAAAAATATCCCTAAACTTGAGTCAAATAACGTGAGAGATCTCATGCCCATAAACATACCTGGTCAAACGCGAGTGAAGCCTAAAAATTAAAATCGTGCATATATTCTTAGCCCTATCTATTACATTTAGTAATATAAATTATGTTTGATATGGTAAACATTAATATAAATTTTAAATAAATGGCTACAATTCACTTTTTTTATGTTATATGGATATAATTACACAATAAATAGCAAAGTTAATTATATATAAAAATAATCAAAAAAATTATTAATAATAAATGGGAAAGTTATTATTACACACCTAATTTATTATGTCTAGGCATATTTTATGTGATTGGTTCTCCATGTTTACCTTCACTAATACTTTATCTTTCATCAATTTTCCTATATCACAAAATTTCTATATTTTTCTCCCAAATTTCTTTCAATTTAAAATCTTTTTGATGATTTTAGAAACAAGTTTTGTAATTTGAATTCATCAGATATTACTTAATTGTTTTTCTCATCGTTTTTATGAAGACTATGTTGCATCTATTTTTATAGGATTTGGATCGACTCGTTTCTACATTACAATGACTACAGTTATAAAAAAAAGTAGTACAAGAAGAACACGAACAAAAAGAGATCGAGGTTTGTATGATTGTCAAATTTGTATCTAGTGTAATAGTTATATACATAGATACTTGTATTCTATTTTTTTTGAATGATCACTTGTACTCTATTATTAACACAAATTGAAATGGTGTTATTAGAATACAAGTATTTGGATACATAATAATCTATCGAATTTGAAAGGTTAATTAGGTAATGCAATTATAATTGGATACATTAATTCAATTTTTTATAAACAAATACATGAGTCAACACCAAGCCTCAAGTATTATTAGAAAAACTTGACTAAAAAGAGATTGTCGTTTATTATTTTTTTTTCATTTTTTTATGCAACATAATACTTGCACACTTTTGCTACCTACACATTCTATTATTTTCCTTTTTTTTTGTATTATCAAATATATTCAACAACAATATATATGTATATTATATTAGTGTATTCGTTTTTATTTAACAACAATATATTCATTTTTCAAATGATCGTGTTCGTATGCTAAATTGTTATACTTTATTTTTTTAATATATAATATATTAAGTTTTATAAATACTTGTATCCTTGAAATATCAATACTTTAAATTTTATAAATAAAGATACTATTTTGATACAATGAATCTAGTTTCCTTATTTAGTTCATTGTAATTAAAATTGTATCAATGTATAAATAGAAAAATAAAAAACATATACAATAATATAGCTAGAAAAAGAGTTAAAATGTAGTCATTTTTTATAAAATACCATAGTTATAGCTATTGAACTTTAATAACCCTATAAATAGTCATTTGTAAGTTGCTTTATTTTAATTGGTTATATATGAGTTTCAAACTATTTTAAGAGTCTCTATAAATATGGTAAAAATGGGTTAAATATGGGTATCTATTTGATCCATATTAGATCACTTCTTTTCACTTTCACTTTCACTTTCTAACTTAATTTAAAAACAGTTTTTTTTTTGAAAATAAATATTTTATTTTTTTTATTTTTGAAAAATAAGAAAAAATTAGGGGTAGGTTAGCGTAAGGTGGCAGAGGGGGTAAAAGTTTTTTTTCTTGCAAAAACAATTTTTTTTATTTTTTGAAAAAAATAGGGATACTTTGGTGGAGGAGGGGGGGGGGGGAGCAGGGGGTTGCCGGGGGTAATTTTATTTTATTTTTACAAAAATAGATTTTCTTTTTTGAAAAATAAAAAATTTTAAGGATAGGTTGGTGGAGGGTAGGGGGTGGGGATGCCCGGGTGGGAGGGGGTAAAACTTTTTTTTTGTAATGTTTGCAAAAACAGTTTTTTTTTTGTTTTTTTAAAAAATATATTTAGGTATAGGTTGATGAAAGGTGGGGGAGGGGGATGGGGGTAGGGGGTAAATGTTTTTTTTTTGTTTGTTTGTTTGAAAAACAGATATGTTTGTTTCTGGAAAAAAAATAATTAGGGGTATGTTGGTGAAAGGTGGGGGTGGGGGAGGGGGGGGGGGTATGTGGGTAGGGGTAAATTTATGTTTTTGAAAAACAAATTTGTTTAAATGAGTTAGAACCATTTTGCCCAAATTATATTTGACCAAATTGTGATCCAAATCATTTTTTCTCAAACCATATTCTAACCCATGCAAATCCAATCCAATTCAACCTTTTGCCACCCCTAATTATACATATGCATTTGTATATCCTAGCGAATTATACATATACAAACATGATTAATTATACAAACTTGAGGTCAACCCACATAATTGATGTATAATGGTAGTCGCGAGTGGTAATTATAGCAAAATATAACTATGATGAGTAATTAAATAATATAAGTTTACTTAACCGCGTAATTTTTCCATTAAAATATGAGTGATCCAAACCATTGAATATGGACAAAATGGACTTATTTTATTAATGGGCTGAAATTGACACCCCTATGTATAATACACAATTTCTAACCTATATACATATACAATTCACCTCTCTCCCACTCTCTGCCCTCTCTCGCTTGCCTCTCTCAATTTTTCTCACCTCTCTCCTCCCTCTCACAATATCGCTTGTCATTTATACAAATGTATATGTATAATATACAATTATATACAATTATTTACATATACAATTCACCTCTCTCTCTCACTCTCTGTCCTCTCTCGCTCGCCTCTCTCCTCCCTCTCTCGATCTCGCTCGCCTCTCTCCTCTCTCTCTCAATATATCTTGCCATATATACAAATACATATGTATAGTGTACAATTATCTAACCAATATACATATACAATTCACCTTTCTCCCACTCTTTTCCCCCTCTCTCCTCTCTCTTCCAGTCTCGCTCGCTTCTCTCCACCATATAATTTGTAGCCATAAATTGTAATTATCAAACTATAGCTATGGAGAGTAATTAATTCTTTTTAAGCGGCTATATATGAAAGTTTTCCATAATTTAATGTGTGAACCAATGAAATAGTACAGTGAAAATATAATCAACAATGGCATTACACTGACTGTTCTTCTTTTTTTCATAGAAATAACTACCACTTTATTTCCTTAGTTATAAAGATATATAGATTTTTGAAAATTAAAAAAAGAAATTTGATAAATATTATATAACAATTGGGAGAAGAAGAATGAAATCAACTACAAACTTATCCGACATTGGAAAACACATAGGCGTAGATAAAAACTTAAAAATCTATCGGATAGAGTAGTAGATCAGTCGATCAGAAGATGAGAAGAGCCATGACCCATTCTCTTTATATCATTACAAATTTACTATTTATTATTATAAATTTTAAATGCTCAACAATTATCAACTTCATTTCAGTATATTTTTTACATGCCCTATATTTAGTCTTCAGAATTTAAAATCAAATTAGTTCTTTCAATAGTAGAGTTTTAAAAAAGTTTCTAACTATAGAAATTATCTTTTTTGTAATTTTAGAACTCAAATATTAAAATAAAATAAAAATTTAAACATTGATAAATTATCAATTAATTCTGAATAATATTATCCTCATTTCTCAAATAAGAACGGGAAATTGATTTATTTTTAAGTAAATTATCGTGTTCTCAAATTATTAATAAATTTCATTAATATACTATATGACAATTTAAATTTTAAAATTATTTTATATGTAGCTTTAATTCATAAAAAGAAGAAGAATATTAAAAGATTTATCAATTGAATCTAGAAGGAAAACTTACAAACATAAAGCATGTTTTGAAATTACATGTAATATCTTTCACTCGATATATAAATGATATAAATACTTTTAAGTATGAATAATCTCACCATGATGAAAAAAATGTTAGGTTATTAGCATTTTAATATTAATATTTAACATATTAAATTGCTTTATTTTGGAGTTATAAGAATGGATGACTTCTACATCATCCATTAGCATTGGTTATCCATCAATATATTTCATTCTTAATTCCTCCATTACTCCCTTTGTAACCTATGTAACATATGTAACTCCCTTTGTAGCATATGTAA